GGGCTCAGATGGCCAGATGGGGACAGGCTTGTGGGGGCTTTTCAGTTCACCTCTGTGGGCACAGCCCTTTCCCAGCTCCATGCAGTCTAGGTGTGTTGCAGACACACTCTCTGTAATATCTAGTACCTGATTGAGCCACCCTTCTTTATTGTCTGGGACCAAGCAGCATGTTGTATCACAAACCAGGAGTAATCTGAAACTGGTCTCTGTGAACAGAGGGCAAGGAGAGACTGAAGGAAAAGGCAGACCACTCCATATTGGTAGGTGGCAGTTTTAATAATTAATTTAGAAGCCTTGTCCTTCCCAACCTCCATCTTTAAAATTTGATATAGAGGCTTTAACTGGGCTTACGCATGTGCACTATCCAGATTTTTTTTCATCTCAGCAAATGTTCTTGGGCAGTTTCTATGAGCTAGAAAGGCAAGTGGAACCTACATTCCCCATGGTGCAGGAGTGGGGTGAGGATCATTATTGCCCATGTCCAGCTCCCAGGTCAACACAGCAAGAGGACAGGGAGAGAAAAAGCATCAGAAGTTCACTCTACTCTTGAGACCATTGATCTCTGAATGGAAAGGAATATTTCTGTTATTCAGAGTTTTAGTTTCTTGCTTATATATTTTTTGATATTTAAATCATTGTCTTTTCAAGTGCCATTCCTGCTATCATCCTTCTAATTCTCTCTTCCTCCTTTGTTGAATGTTAACTGTATCAGCTCCTACTGTGTCCACAGCATCTAGAGTGCTGTGAGGAGCCCATCATTTTCTTTTACTTTAGGAATTCTTACCCTTATGACAGAATTGCTCATTCATTTTATTGATTTTCACTGGATTTTCAGCTCTTTGTATTAGACAATTAGCAAGGGACTCACCCATGAAGAAATTGACATGTTTCATAGGGACAGATGCTAGTGCAATAGGGAATAGATGGAGAATAAATTTTCTTTTCAAATTTTTTTAGTGTGATAAAATGCATAGGACATAAAATTTACCTTCTTACCCACCTTGAAGTGTACAGTTCAGTGGTATTAAATACTTTCATAATGTTGTGCAACCATCACCACCATGCATCTTCATGATTCTTTTCACCTTGTAAAACTGAAATTCTCTACCCATTAAATGGTAACTTCCCATTTCCCTCTCCCTACCCATGCCACCATTCTAACTTCTGTCTCTCTGATTTTATAAGTGGAATCATACAGTATTTATCTTTTTCCACTTATAATATCCTTAAGGTTCATCCATGTTGTAGCATGTATCACAGTATCATTCCTTTTAATGAGTGACTAATATTCCATTGTATATAGATAGAAGAAAAATTTCTAAGTACTCAGTTAAGTGGTGAATATTTTTAATATTACATATTTTGCTTCCCTTGTAGTCTCATGTATTTTGGAACTCAGATAATGACTCTTCTTATTAATAAGGGTTCCTTTTCATTTAAAAATTTAAAAGTTGAGGCTTTGCCCCTAATTCTACCCTGAATGGTTTACAATGTTTTCTGGTCTCTTTCGTAAGTGTGCTTTTATGTGGTAGCCATCTCAGTGTAAAAATTAACCTTTTTTTCACTTAACATATGTCTTAAACTTTTTCTTATTGTTGCTTTTTAATTTTAATAAACATTTTTTGACAGTTGCAGAATTATGAGGACAGTTATTTTAAAGAAAACATACAAAAACTTACATAGCATCAAAATATAGAATTCTACTCTGCTACCTTGTGGCTTCTGTGAATCTGTACAAGAGTAGGACTTTATTAAATATAGATGTACATCAACCACTGAACAAATGTCTATAAGAAAAGTCCCTTGCTGGCCACTAGGATATAAATGTTAACAAACCTGTCTCTTTTCCCACAGAACTTGAAGTTAAATGGGAGAGATAGAAGCAAATAAATAATACAAAGAAGAAAAAAATCATGGAGGATCAAGCAGGAAAGGGTGGTCAGGAAGAGTTTTATAGCAATGCCCTATGAGGAAAGAGTAAATGTTTACCATCAGTGCATAGAACAGAGTGGTAAAATGAGGGGAGTATATATAATATAGTATTTCAGGGAATTATGTTATAACCTACACTCATTGACATTGAACAGTTCACAAAATATATCGTTAAGTGCAAAAAAGCAGATTGAAGAGCAATATAATGACATTGATGTGAAAAAAATTAAGCCATTCATGTGTGTGTGTATGTATATGTGTATTTATGTGTGTGTATGTTTATAAACACAGCAAAAGTTATGGCAGTACTTACACCAAATTAGTAACATTGGTCACCTCTGGAAAATGGGTGGAGAGGTAGAGTAATAAAGGAAGACTCTGTTTATGGCTTGTATGTTTTGATAGGTTATTTTTAATTATTATGTGTGTTATTAAATATAATGAGGAAATAATGAATGCATAATAAATGAAGCCAAGGGACCATTGTTCTACTATGTAGTTATCATTCTGTAAGTCAGTAATTTGTAAAACTTATTTGGATTTTTTCCAAACATTGATATTAATCTGGGATGTCATATAGATCCTGGGATGTTAGCAATTAAAAATTGAAAGGTAAGATGTTAAATTTTCCTGCTTTTTGATTATGTATTTTATTTTTTTCTATAAGAAACTAATAGTTGTTATAGTTAGTAAATGGGGTTTTTGTTTTGTCTTGTTTTTTCAGAAAATACTGAACACTGGAACAGGAAAGGGTGGTCAGGAAAGATCCCCATATATGGTGAATTGGGCACTCTCATGCATAAATGATGAGATTATAACTTGAATCATTTGTTTTGGAGAGAGATTTGGTATCACATGTCAAGAGTCTATGAAAATGATCACAACTTTTGACCTAGTAATTCTGCTTCTAAGAATTTGCCCTATAAAATAAACTTAGAAAATCATGTAAAAATATTATCAGAGCATTATTTATAATGAGGAATTAAAAATGACTTTAATTCTTATATTCCATTTGATGAAATATAAAAGTCATAAATATGTTCAAGAGGATTATTAAATTACATTAGAAAAGACTTGATAAGAAAAAGCCCTTTCTCATTTAGCTGTAACCTCACAGAGGTGTAGACTACTTTTACTTCTATTGCTGTGATTAGTTTTGCTTGTATTTAAATTTATATGTACTCTTTTGTTTCTCTTTTTTCACTCAGTATAGCATTTGAGATTTATCCATATCGGTGTGTGTATCGGTACTTTTTATTGCTACATAGTTATTCCAGTATATGAATATAACACAATTTATCCATTTCTTTATTGATAGACATTTGTTTCCAGTTTGGGGCTATTATGAATAAAGCATACTTGTTCATATCTCTTGGTGAACATATGTACTAATTTCTCCTAGGTACTTATTTAGGACTAGGATTGCTGTACCATATGGTGAATATATGTCTAACTTTATAAGAAACTGTCAAGGTATTTCCCACACCATCCCAGTATGCAGTCCCACCAGCAATGAATAGAATTCCAGTTAATCCATATTCTTGCCAATGCTTTATATTTATAATCTAATTGTAACCATTTTGGTCAATAGATAGTGATTTTACCTTGTGTTTTTTATTTATGTTTAAGTGCTTTTGGTTTTATTGTTCATACCATTTGAATTAATAATTCCAATTTTGAGACATTTTCCAAAAGGCGTAATCTGAGATATTGCTGCATACCTTATAATAGCCAAATGTGGGAAATAACCTAAATGTCAGGTATAAGGACAATGGTTACATAATTTATGATACATTTATAATGATAAAATATACAATTATTCAAAATTATCTAAAATAAAAGGACATAAAATTGTACTAAGGACATGATATTAACTGTAGAAAAATGTGTATATTAAAATAGACCAGCTAAATTGGACATTTGGTGGTGGGTGTGGTGTGAAAAAAAAATGTATGCCTGAAACCTATACAGTGTTGTAAAGTTACCTAAATAAAAAGAGAAAAAAAACTTTAAAAATGAAATAGACCAGGTTTACTTCAAAGAAAGTTCTTTGTTTCTTTTTTTCCCCACTGTAATTGTATTACATTGGTTTACAGCACTGTATGTGATTTAGGGGAATAGTTTCACACCTCTTCAGATGTATGTTACCACACAACACTCACCACCAAAGCAGCCACATAGCATTAGGCCCCCTCTCCCTTCTTCCCTACCTCCACTTTCCCCCTCTATTAACCTCAGTTCTAAGGTCATGTTTCTAGGGTTTGTTTTGGTTCAGTTTTGTCAATTCCTTTGTTTTGTTTCTCTACAACTCACATCAGTGAACTCATCCAGTGTTTGCCTTTCTCCTTCTAACTTATTTCACAAAGTATAACCACCTCCAGTCCCATCCTAATTGTTGCAAATGGCAAGGTTTCTTATCTTTTTATAGTTGAGTAGTGTTTCACTGTGTATGTATACCATGTCTTCCTAATCCACTCCTCTGTTCTTGGGCACTTAGGTTGTTTCCATAACTTTGCTATTGTAAATAGTGCTGCAGTAAACACAGGAGGCCATATATAACTTTAAATTAGTGTTTTATGTTCTTCGGATAAATACCAAGGAGTGGATTTCTGGATCATATGGTATATCAATTTTTAATCTTTTGAGAAATCTCCATGCAGTTTTCCATTGGGGCTACACCAGTCCCCCCAACAGTGTTCTGGGACTCATTAAAAATGTTTATTTTTAACAAAATTGGAAGGAAACACACCAAAACATCTTTGAATAGTGGTACTATATAATTTTCTTCTTATCCTGGTTTTTCCCCAGGTGATCATGTGCTCATTTTAGAATATCACAAAATATAAATAAACTTTATTTATTTATTTTAAGCATTATTTAAAAGATTTTCCAGATTTGATGTTCTATAATGCTTTCTCCACATAATTTTCTCTGCAACATGTAAAATTGCTGTTGATTTTCTTTTAATATTTTATTTCTGTTGCTGTTTTTACTCAAAGTATGAATTGCATAAAAAACAAACTCTCCTATTATTTCTTCTTGTGAATGCCTGATGTTGCAACATCTAGTCCAGGACAGAAGATAAAATAGAACGATTCAAGAAAGCAGTTGAATACTATTCGGTCACAACCAAACTCTCTCCACTGCCAGTGGGTCCCTCCTCCTTTCTAGGTAAGGTTTCCATCTAATCCCAAGATGCTCTATCCATAGAGAAAATTGAGTTAGCCCTTTAGAAACTCCTAGGCCACAGTGGAATCACTTTTTGTATTATACAATCCTAGAAGTCATTCCTGTTTGCTAGACATTCACATTTTGATTTCCATATACCAAGAAAGATGACATGAGATAGGGCCCTGATTTCTTGAGTTTATAGGTGGGGTCCAGTGCTGTTTCCTTAGGTTAGGCTTCTCCTGGCACTACCCTTCATTATGGTCTGGTATATGTAAAATAACTGTTTTGGGGGTCAGACCTGAGATTGAATTCTACCTCTGCTCTTACTAACTATGTGATCTTGGTAAATCACATTTGTATGAGATATGGCTTATGATACCTACTTTACTGGGTTGTTACCAGATGAAATAATTTATGTAAGCTTCCTGACATGGCACATAGTACCTATTCAATAAATTGTAACTTATCTATTAATAATATTTTTTACAGGTGATATGGGGTTAGCCGAACATAGTAAAATTACTAGGATTTACTTAAATATTTTCCTTTCTCTTTGCTTCAGGTTTTCGAAATAATCGACTTGGAAATCATCCCCTTCCACGAAATCAAATGGGCTCTATCACTGCTGGAAAACCAATGGTAGCTATCTTAGAAGAGAACTAAGACCATTTGTTAGCATTAGACTCCGGTTACTTCTGATTTTTATAATCTCAGTTAAGGAGTTAGGGTGATTCAGTATAATCAGAATGTCAGGGCTATATATACCCATGTCATGGTCTCAACCGGAGGTTGACCAACTATGTAAAGAAAACATCCAAATCAGTAACCAGTATGGTACTGTGAAGGTAAATTAGCTAATGTTAGAAATCATACTGGAAGACATGAATTGATTCATTGTCCTGACTCTAGAGGATGCTCTCCATACATCACTGTTAGAATTATTTTTTGTTATTATCAGTAGGTGTTTTTATATCCCAATAGTCCCTGCAACTGGTATCATCAATTAGGCTACAACTTATAAGTGAATCATTTGGAGCCTAGTAAGATGTTAAACAGCTTTTCTCTCTGTTTTATCCTTTAGTTTTCTCACCATATGCCCCAGAAAATGAAATATCCACCATCATTCCCAATGGGACCCAACTCTTCTCTTCTCTTCTCCCCACAAGTTTTGGGGGAATCACATACATTTTCTGAGAATCCCATGCTACAGGATAGCCACTTTACCAATTGGGCTGTCTCTTATGACTCCTCTGCATCCCAGTTTCCCAGTTATCTGACTTCTAAAGCCTCACTTCCTTTGGCACCAGACTCTTCCCACTCCTCTTCTTCTGATGGTGATGAGCCAAATGGAGCCAGCTCTGAGTAAGTATCTGTATACATTCCCAGGGGAACAGACTTCAGAAAGCATCTGTATTCTTTTGTGGGTAACTTGGAAAGGGAATGAGGGACGTGTAAGTTCCTGGCTGTTCTGTGCAGCTTTGTTCTTAAGAAGGAAAACTTGGGCCTCCCCTGCTGGCGCAGCAGTTGAGCACTGGGCTGAGAAGCTGCCTGCAGCCTCTGCAGCGCATGTTCGAACCCTGGCCACCAGCAAGGGTCCCACATGGTGTACAGACCTCTCCCGACGCGCCCACTGCTCCCCTCAGCAGTGTGTTTCGTCGGTCTTCCTGTTCTGTTCTCCGCTCTGGCTCTGATGAATTCTCTCACTCTCCCGCGCTTCTGACTGTACCCAGTGCTTGTATAAATAAATAAATAAATCTTTAAAAAAAAAAAAAAAAAAAAGGAAGGAAAACTCTATGCTTGACCATTTCGTGTTCATTTTGATGCAGTATAGATGGTAATTTTCAGATACCCAGTTTACTGAGGGAAAAGGCAGTATAGCAGCTAGTTAAGGAAGCTCTAGTATGGGTATGCTATATATCATGGCTATCATTTCCCAATTTGTGTGTGTGTATGTGTGTGTAGATTGATTATAAAAATAAAAATGAAAATAATTTAAAGAGTTGAGGTATTGAAATAATTCTATTGCTTAGTAACTAAAGATTCTGAGAATTAAAATAGTGGGATTTTGTAGTAGCTCATTTGTTCTTAGATTATTCCTCCAAGCATATTATTCTTGGGAAAGAGAATTGCTTGGAAATTTCAATTATAATTGTTTTCTTAGAACATAAGCAGACTCTTACACATGGCCTCTTGCAAGGTGGAAAGGATTCAGAATGGTCCCCATGACTTTTGATCACTTTGATTTATGTCAGACAAAAGAAGCCAGGAGGGCAGTGATGGCCACCAAGAGGACAGGTGTCAAATCCAATACTAACCCAGTTTTCTAACTTCCAGAGGGTTTGTAAGATTCCTTGGAATCAGAATAGATATATTGAATTGGAATGTCTTTCTCTCTTCCTTTCTCTCTTCTACACTGTGTTTCTGAATTTTTTAGCCACCTCACAGAAAAACTTCAGCAGCAGCCTGGATGGGAGGATCCAAATGGTGATAGAGGATCCTGGGTACATCCCATTGATGCTGGAGTTTCAGATGTCAGCCTGGGTGATGGTGAACCCCATATCCCATCTCTGCTGTCTATGTCTACAAGGAACCACATGGACGTCACCATTCCACCTTTACCTCCAGTAGCACCAGAAGTCTTACGGGTTGCTGAACATAGACACCGAAGGGGTCTTATGTACCCCTATATCTACCATGTCCTCACTAAGGTGAGAAAGTACGTTGGTACCTACCTCCCAGCTTTTAACATTGTACTTCAGACTTCCTAGAATTGTAAGGTACTAGAGAAAATTCTTACTGTTAGTATCTGATGGGAGATAAAAGAAGAGCAAATGTACTGAGGGCCCTAGAAGAGTAATTGTAAGATTTTGAAGAAGATATTGCACCAAGTTGGTGGACTGTTGTTTAGGATGGACACCATCTATAAAAGAGGCGTTATGTCCTTGTTCTGTACTTCTTCTTCTGAGCTGTTCCCCTCTTCTAGTCTCACCATATGAATTCATCCCTGAAATAAATGTCAAAGATGGACTTCCCCATTTAGTCTGCTGTAATCAGTCATACAAAAGACTTTAAAAATAGAATATTGTTTTTAAGCTGACTGTGGTTAGCCAGGTTATATCTTCTTTTTAGTCTGAAGCTGTATAAATACATGTAGAAAATTTAGCAGCTAGGCTATAGTTATTACTACTTCTCCTCAGCTCATTTCCAAACCTTGAGGTAACTCATTTTCTTCTTTCCCTTGGTACATTTTCTTGTTAGGGTGAGATTAAGATCCCTGTATGTATTGAGGATGAGTGTAACATGGAGCTGCCTCCAGCTGCTCTCCTATTCCGGTCAGCTCGTCAGTATGTGTATGGAGTCCTTTTCAGTCTGGCAGAAACACAGCGGAAAATAGAACGCCTGGCCATACGGCAGCGACTGCCTATGGAAGGTAAATGTAATTGCTTTGATAGTTCTCTAAAAGCTTGACAAAGAACAAAAATAACTATGTGAGTATACCATCCTTTTGACTATGAAGCAGTCTTTGAAAAAAATGCATAATTCACCAGAGTACATGTGGGTATAGGAAATGTGTTAACTTAAACTCCAGTTCTTTAATTATTAACCATTCAGAGTAACTTATAAGAACCATCCTGGACTTAGAAATGTAGAGGCGTATCTGACAGTCTGTCCTTGGTGAGATTATTGTTTTGGGATTTGATCCTAGAGGTAGTTGGAACCATTGAAATGTTTTAAGTTGCAGAGTGACATGGATTTGAAATGAACACAGTCAATCACTGTGTTCAAAGAACCTTGAGATTTTTAAAAAGGCATATTTTCCTTTTTTTCCCTTTTTTTTAGACATATTTTTCACTAGCCTGAAAAGATAGACACTTTTCACTATTCTTACTAAATTCAAATAAAAGCCCAGAATGTTGAATATAAAATAAGCAACAGACACTGTAAAAGGTAAAGAGGAGGCAAACTGGCTAAGGACCTTGGTATCCAAGGAATGACACACTTTTGTGTTCCTTAAGTTTTCTTTTTACCTAATATATCTCAGACTGGATGTGGGACAACCTGGCAGACCAGAAATACCAACAGGCACAGATCAATAAAAGCCCTAAGAAGAGCCTGCTCTCTCTAACTAAAGTGCCCAAAAGTAACAATCAAACAACACAGAAAATTTTTAGATAATGACCACTCTACTCTTAGCCAATGCCACAGAGAAACTGTGGTCCACAACCACCAGCAAGTCAAATGAAGAATCTAGATTGCCACCCTTGCCAGACTATAACAAGGTATAGTTCCAGCTGGGGAGGTGTTAAATAAGACTGGGTAGGGATGCAGAAAACTCTCACTTGACAATTGTAATACAGTGTCTCCCTTCAGACCACAAGAGGGGTATCAGAGAAGACCTGCTAAGACATAAGATTTAAATAATATTCAGTAAGTGTTTTAAAATAATACCCAAAATGTCTATATATCAATTGAAAATTCCTCATCATACCAAGAACCAGAAAGATTTCAAACTGACCAGGGAAAGAAAATCAATAGATACCAATGTTGAGAAGACACAGATATTTGAATTACCTGACAAGAATTTCAAAGCATAGCAAGGCAGACTTCTCTTGTCTCACCCGCACTGCCCTCAGCAGTGTATTTCGTTAGTCTGCCTGTTCTGTTCCCCACTCTGTCTCTGGTGAATCCTCTCAGCCTCCCACACATGTGGCCTGTACCCCAGTTCTTGTATAAATAAATAAATTTTAAAAAAAGGAATTTCAAAGCTGCCATCATAAAAACACTGTATGCAAGAACTGGGGTGTAGGCCAGAGGTGCATTGTGGCCTCCAGCTGCCAGCTCTGTGAATAGAAAGTCTTAATAAAGAAATAAAAGATAGAAAGACTAGAAGTGACTAACAAAAAAATGCAATAACTAAAAAATAGTGATGTGTTAAATTGCAAATTGTAGACAACAGAGAGAATAGTCATTGACCTTGAAGACTGAACAGTATAAATTATCAAATCCAAGTAACATAAAATAGAAAAAAATGAACAGTGACTAGTAGGTCGATGACAACATATATTTCTGTCTTCAGAGTCCCAGAAAGAAACATAAAAGAGGGTGGGACTGCCAGAGTATTCAGAGAAATAATGGCTGAAATATTCCCAAATTCAGCACAAATATAAGTCCACAGATTCAAAAACTGAGTAGATTACAAACAATATGAACTCAAGGAAATCTATGCCAGGATGCATTATGGTCATAACTTGGAAAGCTAAAGATAGAAAATTATTGAAAGGCGACAAAGAGAAATGACACTACCTATTAGGAGAAATATAACATGAATAGCAGCTGATTGCTTATCAGAAGACATGAAGTCCTGTTTTTTTAGATGTTCTCTCAACACTCAGGCAAGATAGTGGCAGAGTGAAGATTTAGGCTCACCTACTCCTTATACTCTCCCTCCAGTGCAACAGAACAAAGCCAATAACTCTTAAAGGTAAGATAGAGGGTATTGTATACTGGGAGCAACATCCATAAGGGAGGGCCCTAGCACAGTGATCAGCCAGCTGTCAGCCATGAAAGATAGGTTATAAGCCAGTAGCTGTGAGAGTGAGAGCCAGGCTACTGCCAACTTCTAGTCATCAGCTGCAGGAATCCAGCCTCCAGCATTCATTACAAGCCCTGCCTTCATCCTCCAGCTGCCAACTCCGTGAATGAGAGTCAGGTTGCTCCTGGCCCATAGTTGCAACCTTTAGAACCCAGCCTCCAGCTACCAGCTTCGAGAGCACAGCCAGCTCCCCTTGACCTCCAGCAACCTGCTATAGAAGTCCAGCCTCCACCTGAGAGAACACTGACACTTCAACCACTAGTTGTGGGAGCCTAGCTGCCAGCCAGGAAGCCAATGACAGGACCTGTGTCCCACTGGTTATAGCTCACAGAGTAGCTTCAAAGAGAGATTTGAGGTGTGACCCTGTAGATAGCAGTGGGATTGATTATCCTTTGGACAGCAGAGAGCAGTACAAAATTCAACAGGTTGGACACTAAAGAGTGTCACCACATTAAACAATCCAGTCAAGAAATGGGCAGAAAAACTTAAAAGACATTTCTCCAAAAAAGAAATGCAAATGGCCAACAGGCATATGAAAAAATGTTCAACATCCCTGATAATCAGGGAAATGCAAATCAAAACCACATTGAGATACCACCTTACAACAGTAAGAATGGTGCATATCAAAAAAAAAACTAGCAACAACAAATGTTGGCAAGGATGTGGTGAAAAAGGAATTCTCCTACATTGCTGGTTAGAGTGCAAACTGGTCCAAGCACTATGAAGAGCTCTCTGGAGGTTCCTCAGTCTACTAAAAATGGAGTTATCATATGGCCCAGCAGTTCCACTCCTAGGGATCTATCCAAAGGACACAAAAACATTGATTAAGAAAAAGTACCTATACCCCTATGTTTATTGCAGTGCTATTTATAATAGGTAAAACCTGGAAACAACCTAAATGTCCAAAAATAGATGACTGGATCAAGAAGATGTGGTATATATACACAATGGAATACTATTCAGCAATCTAAAAAGATAAACTCATGCCATTTACAGCAACATGGATGGAGCTAGAAGGAATTAGGCTCAGTGAAATAAGTCAAAAAGAAAAAGAAAAATATTGGATGGTTTCCCTTATAGGAGGAATATAGGGGAACCAAATAAGACATCAGGGGAAAAATAATAATACAAAACAAAAAAGACAATTATAAATCAGAGACATCCTGCAGGGGAAGAGGAGGAAGAGGGGTCAGATGAAGGGAGGGAGGAGCACAGGGGACTGTGGTGATGGTGCATGGGTGCATTGGTGAAGGAAATTCAAGGGGGACTATACCTGGGGACAGGGAAGCAAACATTGTTTAAAAATGAACAATGATGTAAAAAATAAAAAATAATAAAAAATGTTTCACTACACTGAATAGAGGGGTGTGGAGAGAGGAACTGGAGGTCATGGTTAGAGTAGAGCGCAACGGTAGCAGGGCTGTTGGCCTAACCAGGGAGTATGGTGAGGAGGGAGCAGAAGTTGTGTAGAGGCAAACACCCTTGAAGGATGGATGGGAAAGCCTTGTGGATCGGCTGTGGTGCTCAACACCAGCTGAGTTCATGGTAGAGATAATGGTAGAGCAAGTATTCTGATCTGCACTCCCCATCTCCTAAGAGGATTTGTCAGATATACTGAGAGGACAGGGACTGCTGAGTATCTCATCCCAAACCCCTGAGAGGAGGGAATATAGGGAGAGGTTAAAACAGGAGACATCCCCACCCTAACTTATACATAGTAATTTCTAGACTCTTTCCAAACCCCTACACCACCCTGTTGGCTCAGTAACTGCAAAATGGATCCCAGTATGTATGAAAGTCAACAAAGACCAAAATAAAATCGAACTATCCACAGCACCAATTGTGGGAAAAATAAAATAGTTTAACTCCTTAAGCTATTGATGAAGTTATAAAAAACAGTAATAAAATAGAGAAACTATAAATAGCAAAATAACAGTAAGATAGCAAATATATATATATATGTGTGTGTATATATATATATATATATATATAAAATACATGGAAATACAAGTCCTCTAGAGAGCATAACATCACAGAATGAGAACAACTCTCCAAAATTCATATGCAAAAATATGGAATTGGGCCTCCCTGGTGGCGCAGGGGTTAAAGTCTCAGTGCTATCAAGGTATATCAGTCCCCAGCCACTGCTCCTCTCAGTAGTGTATTTTAGTAGAACTGCCTGTTCTGTTCCCCACTCTGTCTTTGGTGAGTCTCCTCACCCACCCACCTGTGGCCTATACCGCAGTTCTTGTATGAATAAATAAATGAAAATAAATCTTTTTTTAAAAAAAAAGAAATTATTCTTAACAAAGATGGAAGACTTTTTTTTTCCTTATCACATATAGAGTTCAGAATTGGCAATAATAAAAAAAGTCAAGGAGAGAGAAGAAAACTCAGAAATACAGAAGATTTCAGAAAAGCTAATTAAAGAAAAACAACTAAATTTAGGAAAACAAATTAATGAGCTCAGAAATAAAATCAATGACCAGAAGATAGTCATTGAATCATTAAATTAGAAAATAACAGAAATTCACAAAGTGAAGAACATAATACATGAAATCAAAGTCTCTAGAGTAAATTATGGGGGTAAAATCAAATGGAGGATTGAATCAGTGACCTTGAAGATAATAATGCACTAAAGGACCCAACTGGAAGGAGAGAAATGAGATATAATAGAAATGGAGAGGCAATTTGAGAACTATCCAACACCATTAAAAAAGCCAACATAAGAATAATGAGTGTCCCCAAAGGGAAAGACAGAGAGCCTAGGAAATAATAGAAGAAAATTCTGTAACTAAGAGAAGGAATTAAGTACACAAATTCATGAAGCTAAAGAA